ATGCGGATTCGAACCCGCGCCCCTCAGATTGTGAGTCGAGCGCCTTATCCACCTGGCCATGCCGGGCACTCACGTTAAGAAAGTGACACAACTCCTTAAATTCGCTGCTTATTGTTTGGGTATCTGGGTGAAGTTTTGGGGAATGTTTTCCGATTTCGTAACCATAATATTTCCTAACTGACCCAGTATAATGACAGGGCAGATTGACATTAAAATTGTTTTGTATAATTTACAGATATGCTCCACATGAGGTCCCGAAATAATGTTGGTAACTTTATTATTACAAACGTTTTTTGTTCAAGGTTAGCAATACCAGTGGTACTAGAATTTTTGGTCATATTTTGTTGAGGTCAAGATAGGGGTGATGTGGGGAGACATCTATTTCAATAGTCTTTTCTTTTTTTTTTGTCAGACACGGCCATCCCTAGGTCTTACCTGTCAGCAACAACTACCGCCTACACACACACACACACACTTGACCGAAATAGCGGAATTAAATGCAATGATCATAATAATTCACAGCTGAAAGTGCGAAGCATTTGATTGGCATATCGAGGCTCGAACGTTAGATCTTTCAATTAATAGCCCGGTATGTAAATAGCTAGTTTATGTCTGTCCCATTTGAAACTGAATGCTAGCATTTTTAAGAGCGTGAATGCTTCAATAAAAAGTTAGTATAATATATAATAAATGTTTATAACAAAATAATCTTAAAGTTAACGAGCACATCCATCGCTTATGTAAAGCTCCTCAGTGGCACAGCGATATGTCTGCGGACTTACAACACTAGAAACCGCGTTTCGATACCCGTGGTGGGAAGAGCACAGATAGCCCATTGTGTAGCTTTAATGCTTAACAACAAACAAACATACGCTTATGGAAATAAAATATTATGAAAAGCAACATGAAAAATGTGGTTAACTCATTACTTTATTTTTGAAAAAAGAAAAGAAAAAACTCGTAAAACCATTAGAGAGCTATTGAAAATATAAATGGATTCAGAAGACGAGAAAACGCTTCTTGGCATTTATATCCAGAAACAAACAAAACGGATTAAATGTGCTATTAAAAGACCAGCCTGTAGGACTAAACAGTAGTCTTAAACGTGTGATTGGTTGATAAAACTATTTTCTTTTCTTCTTCTGATAGCTGGAATTCTTACAGCCACTCGATAAAGTCACGTCACCCTAATGTCGGGTGATGAAATATTCTGCTATCTGATGTGTGAGCTCTTACATAAACGTATTTGAATGATATCAAAAATAACTTCTTTGTACTACAATACTAAGACAAAAAGGGGAGTGAGGATATCTATCCCACCAGACACCCTGTATCATCTTTGAGGAAAGAAATGGACTAGCAATGTGTACAACTTCTTTTAGAGACTCATACAACTATGTTGTAGTTTGTTTGTTTTGGATCTCGCGCAAAGCTACACGAGGACTATCTGCGCTAGCCTTCCCTAATTTAGCAGTATAAAACTAGAGGGAAGGCAGTTAGTCATCACCTCCCACCGCCAATTCTTCGGTTACTCTTTAACCAACGAATAGTGGGATTGACCGTCACATTATAACGCCCCCACGGTTGAAAGGTCGAGCATATTTGGTGTGACGGGGATTCGAACCCGCGACCCGCAGATTGCGAGTCGAGCGCCCTATGTTATAGAGCTGTGTTAGGTGAATATTCTGTTTTTAAAGTGGACCTGAACATTATGATATTTCTCAACCATGTTGTTACTGCAGAATTTCTCAAACTAAAAGTGGAAAATATATGCCAAGAATTAGTTGATCCCACATTAATGTTGTCAGTATGTATTTATTTATTTATTATGTTAGCGACATAAATAAACATTACTATGGATAAATATTATATTAAATTCTCATAGGAAACAACTGGGGAACCTGTGCAGATGGCACGCAACGAGTAGGATGTGGCCCACAAGAGACTTTCCGCAACTGTGCTGACGTCGCTGTTGAATAGGAACTTTTTTCGTTCGACCACCTCCAGCACACATACTCACAGAACTATTTTATTATTATTATTATTAGTAGTAGTAGTTTCACCCAAGATCTACAGGGTAATCACTAATACGTTATTATATTTCAACTCAAGAAATAAATTTCAGGATATCTTTATTTACTTGATTTTACTTGATTTTTCCACAATTAAATCCTTATAAAATTCGTTAAAATCTCTATTTGTTTACTTTTTCTCAATCTTTTATGAATTATTTTTATGATGTCTTTATTATCTGCTATGCCATCGATTTCTTTATTAAACATTTCATTTTTTTTTCCTTTTGGGATCCTGTGTGAGAATTGAAGTATTAGCAGCGTCAACTACAATATAGTACTAATAGGAGTCCTGTGAAAATCTATCTGTTTCATTCTTTTTCACGTTCAGAAGTTGGGATATGTATAGATTGAAGTGTTTAATAATGACGAGCAGAATAAAATAGATGATTTTAGGTTTTTGTTTCAATGAAAATATCTTCATGAAAGTATGGACTATCAGTTTTTGTTGTTATTTAAAGCAGATAATGTTTCATTCCATTTTACTTATTTCTATAATTAGAACCCTAATTGTTGTGCATAAATTTTGCTTCGTCTGTTTTAGTTGTATCTTGCACTTTTCCTGTCTACTGTATTAGTGTTTTTGTTAAAGGTATTAAAACTACAGAAAATATCTAAAAACAAGAACTATGGGTTAAATTATCGAATTTTTGTTCAGAAAAGTTCAATAAAAATGAAATTTACATTAAATAATAGTCCAGAAGTTTTGTTTGATGTGAAGGGCAAAGGTACATAACGGTTATCTGTGCTATCTCTATAGCGTGTATTGAATTCTGAATTTTTGTATCTTTAATATATCGCAGAGCAATGGGGTGAATCAAATGTATTTAAGACCAAGATTATTTTTTTAAAATCAGTGCTAGAGAAGACATGTTTTACCCATGCAAAACCAGTGAATATGTCGAAGACGAGTAATAATTCAAGAGAAATAATTATTTTCCTAAAAATATTATCTGCCTGCGACAAATCCATGTCTATCGTTCTGATGTTTAAAAAAAAAAATTAATAGTACAGAGGGTTGAATATGTTATATTAAAACGATTTGAATGTACAATTCAGCAAATAACCTGACAAACACAGTCTATGTAAAGTTGAAGTGGAACGGTGTATATCAAAACAACAAATTTATTTTGTTTCGACTTGCGGATATAGTGTAATGCCAACGAAAACTAATTGCTTTTGGGAATATTATCTAACTGCGCTTTCCGGCGTAAAATATTCCTACACTCACGTCGGGGATTTAGAGCATCCAAGACTAGGATATCCTTTATGCTTAATGGCATTAAGTAATAAAGGAATATAAATCAATGAGGACACCAGAACCATAGATTTGTTGTAGAATTTTTCGCAAAGTTGCTCGAGGGCTAGCTCTGCTAGCCATAATTGTGAAGTAATAGACTGGATGAAGTCAACTAACCAAAACCACCCACCGTCATCTCTTGGGCTACTCTTTACCAAAGAATAGTGAGATTAACCATCAAGTTTATGTGTACACCTTGATAACTGCAACAAATCTGCTATTTTCTACTGGTCAGTGGGTGAAAATAATTCCAGAAATGGATTTTGACCTGTCACGAAAAATGTTTTGGAAAAGATTAACGATTATCACTGGATACTGTTTAAAGGGTAAATTAAGTACCTGAAAAGTGGATACAAAGGTCAAAGTGAATTCTGTTTGCTATCAAGTTAACGTTCTGGATATTTTTTACCGCACAAAATTTCCAGTTTTATTCAGAAACAAAGTCAATAGGGTATAAACTCACAGGGGAAAGGCTTTCAGTTATGCCTTCCATTTAACACTTGGGAGCCTCAAGCAGTTGGAGAATGATTTAGGTATTCATGCTATTCCATACAATGACACACGTGTAAAATTGCCAGACGCAGTGCCTATGGATTGGTGTGTAATTGGAATGTTAAAATTGGTGCTGGAAAACTGTCGTCCTCCTACAGTAGATGACTTGTGGTAAGCGTGAAGGAAGGAGTGGTGTGTTTTGGACGAAAAAACCTTACGGTAGAACGTTTCAATGGCAACTACACTGTAGGGTTATTGTCAAGATACAGGGTATTTAGCTAGAATATGCCCTATAAGGACAGTAAAGATATGATGAGGCTCCGTACTTGTACACAACACTCTGTATTCAGGGTACTGGCAAGAACGTCCAAATCATCTACCATCTTTCTAATCTGACCTACTAATGAGAAGAAGAGCATATACCTGACATAAAATTAACATGAATATGGGAGTGAACAGTTTTCAACTCGTGAGAATATTTTGCATGTACGAAAGATAAGTATGGGTAATATAAAAATGGTAAAAAATGCACCATTATTGAAAGTGAAAAAGGTGAATATAACAGAAAGTAACAACTTGGAAATAACAGCTTAAATCCGATAGAAAATTTGCATATAAAGAACATCCCAAGAAACTACAACACTAAAATTGGTATCTAGTCACTGACAGTTGAATGATTTCTGAAATGGTGTATTTAAGTGTTTTACACTCACATAAAATAAACCTATCATTCTATAAGTATTTGAAGAACTTGTAGCATTTCGCCAAAATTTAATTACTTGTTGTTAAACAATGTTTAAACAACTCCATTCAAAGTTAAATGATTTGTTTGTTTTCTGTTAAGCGCATAGTTACACAATGGAGTATGTGTGCTCTGCCCACCGTGAGTATCTAAACCCGATCTTTAGTAATATATGCTCCCAGACTTACCACTGAACCAGCGAGGAATGTAGTGGAATGAACTTGTTATTGGTCGAGATATGTTGAAGGTGATTAACTAACAAGTAAAGTACTATTTAAATATGAAGTCAGAATGAATTTATAGATGCTAGCTGTTAGACGTCTTTACAATCAAATGATGGAGAATTGTATAGCACATAAAGTCAAAGTGTTACTTTAGCATAACACTGGGATTCAAAAGAAGGCATGACATTGTGGGTGTTATTGCATGTAGTATGACAAGAATAAATATGACTAGCATCTTTACAAATGTAGGGGTGTGATGCGAGAAAGTTTAAGTAGGCTTATTAAAGTTGAGTGGTGTAAGATTAACAAGTTTAAGGGAAAAATTATCGCTAAATAAAAAAGCCATGTAGAGCTGGCTACTAAACTTGAAAAAAGGAAGCAAACAAGATAGGGATCTAAGTGGACATATCACTTGATCCAGCTACTGATCACATAACAGACTAAGCTGTCTCGACTATACATGGAGAATAAATCTCCACATTACTGGATTCCCCACTTTGTCTATCGAAAGCTTGATGCTTGAACAGAATCTTAGCTTTCATCATTATACCTTTCCTTTAGTTAGGTTTAGAATACTACTTTTATGACTATTTTATAATAGAGTAATATTTTACGATTGGAAATTCTGGTCCTATTTGTTTTGCCAGTGAGAAACCCAGTAATGTAGGGGTTTTTTTCCTCCATATAAAAGCTAGACGGCTTAGTCTGCTATATGATTATTAGCCGGATCAAGTGATATGTCCACTTTCATTCCTATCTTATTTGTTTCTTTTTTCAAGTTCAGTAGACAACCCCACATAGCTTTTTGATTTAGCGATAATTTTTTTCCCTTATACTTGTTTGTTTACTTTTTTTATAAAATGTCGTATGTGGGTCACTAGGGTATACAGGGTATTCTAAACCTTTATACAGTTTGCAGAGAATAATAATAAAATAGGTAGTCAAATATCGTGAAGACTGTTTTGCTCTATCAAATATCATGATAAAATTATAGTTACTGCTAAAGCTAGGTAGGTGATAGGCCTGTTGAAAAAAGATGATGATGAACGAAAGTAAGAAATCTCGATTTTGGATATTCACTGGTTTTCGATTTTGGGACGCTCTGGATAGCTGAAAAGCAGCATAAACACTAGAGACAGAGCGGCTATGCCAGATCACTCTTCATATATAGCTTATGATGACCTGTACAAGAAAATCCAGACGATTTTTGTATTGCTATAACATAGGCGTCCGTGCAGTCCCTTACTTAGAGAGTACTAGCGCAATCTCCAATATATGTTTTCAGTTTACGATGTTTCATTTGAACTTACAGTTACAAGTGGCAGTAGTTATTACATATATGTTAATATTGTGATAATAACTCTGGTAGGACTTCTCTAGTTGAAAATGGGACACACTTCAAAATTTAAAAGTAGAAAATGTTACGTATGTTTGTCAACGAATTAGACAATCGATTTAGGTGGGCAATTGTTTGTTCGTTTTGAATTTCGCGCAAAGCTACACGAGGGCTATCTGCGCTAGCCGTCCCTAATTTAGCAGTGTAAGACTAGAGGGAAAGCAGCTAATCATCACCACCCACCGCCAACTCTTGGGCTACTCTTTTACCAACGAATAGTGGGATTGACCGTCACATTATAACGCCTCCACGGCTGAAAGGGCGAGCATGTTTGGTGTGACGGGGATTCGAACCCGCGACCCTCAGATTGCTAGTCGAACGCCCTAACCATTAGGTTGACAATATAATATACTTCCAAAAAGGAAGTAAGTGTAGTTCAATAAATTACATGGCTTCTTAGTTAATAGAGTGTAGTAACATCAAAAATTATTATAGCCAGTTTCATGTGGGTTAAAAACTCTTACGTTGCTCTTCAACACAGATAAGTGAGCATCACTATCGTAATTGTATTTATTACGTTCAAACTTATTCCATTCCTTAACCACTTATTTTTAACTTTAGTCTAACATAACGGCTTTATTGAGTTTTATACGAAGAAAAATACTTACTGACTTTTGTGCAACCCTACGGTAACAGAAAACAAAAATGGGAAACAAAACAAAATATGGTGCTTTGGTTAAATACTGACTGCCCACTTGTCTTCTAGGTCATATGTTCATATTTTGCAAAAGAGGACAGAAGATTGGCGAGACAA